AAAAAAAAAAAAAAGTAAATGACAAAAATAGCATTATTTTAAAGAAGAAAAGATGAAATAAATTTCCAATTCATTGAGATAAACCTGAGTAAATGAAAAATAAAAAATAAAAAATGTGATACCAACTACCAAGTATGCGTTGGCTTAATTCAAGTTTCTGTAGCTCTTGCCAAACATCTTTTATTTTCTGATGACTCGTAGAGTTGGCGCCTGGCGGGTAGCACCAATTAATATCATTTAATTTTGCCGCCCTAAGGCGTGGAACGGCCGTTGGTCAGTAACAAACATGTAGAAAAATATCCAATTTGTAGAAAAATAGTGAATAGTTTCATAAAAGATGTATACATTATGGCATAAAATAAACTTGGAATAATCGACTTGCAATACTAACAATACTCAGGGTCCGGAGCATGGTACCTATATCATTAACTTTTTATTGTTTGTTTGAGAACAATATCCAAATGCCTGCGGCATTTGTTCAACTTTACCCCACTCATGTATTCATCCGGGTCAATGAGCATAAGTGTAGCAAGTAGCACCCCTAATTAAATCAAATTTCACCATTATATCTAATAAGTCTATAAGCCCATCAAACAAAACTTTAACCCCAAACTTGTTCCCCTTCTTGAAACAAACTGGATTCAATTTGGTTGATTAACACCAAAAGAACATTAATATTCACAGAAATTCGCTCATAAAAGTTCGTTTCAGATCGTCAACTACCTTTTGCGCAACCATTTACAATCCACCAAAACCGAAAAATGTTCACAGACCTCGCAGTAACAAAAACCAGAGAGAACCATCTCAGAGAGAGAAGATAACAGAGTTAAACCTCATCATGTATCTAGATTCACATTTTCAACCACTTAGGTTTCATCTTCTTTTTGTCACTGGGCTTGTGCTCAGGCCCAACAGATGGGCCAGTTGTTGTCACTGGTTCAGGACCTTCTGTTGTGGGCTGGGACACAGGCTGAGCCTGCTGAGCCACAAACTCCAACCCTTTCAAAGACATGACATCCTCCTGAAGGTAGGGACCGGCAAATGAAGCACCATCATCACCTAAAGAAACATGGTAAAAAAATACAGACAAGGTTGGTGACAAGGATGATATTTATAAAGACGAGCTAAAAAAGAAAATTACAGAACCATGGTGAACAATGAAATTGGTTGGAATTTCCTGGAAGAAACAATTTTTACTAGAGATTTATTGAACAATACCAATATCCAGTCTAGTTTGTTAAAAATAAAGAATAATTCAAAAGGCATCATCAAAGTGCAGTCAATTGCAGAGATTTCCAACTATATTTTCAGTAATTGTACCTACCTGATGTTTGTTTCAAAATTTCAAAGTGCACCCCAATAACAGAGGGCATTTGTCAAGTATATACAAACATCAACGGCTGATAGGGGTATAAGACCATAAGGGAGAACTTGCAATTTTGAATATTTTAGAGTTGCAATGTAGTTAGGCTATAAGTGACAGGTCGAAATCGTAAATTACTGAAATAAAAAGTAAACTCTTCCCTTATGAAAACTTCTATTTTTACTTCAATGGATAAGACACAGTTTTGGTCATAAGATAAGATAATCACTGACATCTTTAGTCTCAACCTGGATTACAGCAACTCGGTTTACAGACTTGAAAAGGACCCATCTCAGAAAACGTGTACTACCTTTTGGCATATCATACGCAAAGTACACAATTGCACCAGGAACAAATCCAGCAGTATAAAAATCCTGAGACATGTCATTTAGTTGCTTTTTTGGAGGTGTGGTATCTGAAACAAAAGAAAAACTTAGCATTAACCTGCTTCAATTTAACTACCTGATTATCTTCTGAAACAAAAGAAAAGTTGAGCATTATCCTGCTTCAATTTAACTACCTGATTAGCATCTTTCATGCAAGATCACGATTAATTGTGCTAAGAAAAAGAATGCAGTAATACATCCTTACACAGATAAAAGGGCAACTCCGGATGGGCAGACACTTTCTTTAGAAGATCCACCAAACTTTGAATCGTTTCGGAAGGATGAAATGAAACCTCCAGCGTATGATTATCAGGAAAACGTACTCTTATGACTGCCTGCTAGAATAGAATGATATTATTCAAATGACCGAGCCAATAACAAATATAAACCTTAAAGTTAGAAGAAAAAAGATGCCCGCAAAAAATTCACAAAATAACACCTTTGTAAACCTTGACCTACGAGCAGCAGTTTCTGCATCCCTAATTTTTTTCGTCTTCAGATATTTATCTGCATAGTTCCACAATGGATAATGGAAGGAATTTTAGATCCATTAATCTACTACAAGCACCACCCAATTGTAATAAAATAACTGAAAGATCAGCTAGGGTGTAGGATCTGACTAAACTGAAAATTTCAAAATTGTACAGTCTTACCTTCCTTTTTAGCTGCAAACAGACGGTAGTAGTCCTCCGGTGTGAACTCGTAAAAGTCATCCGTCTCTTCTGAGCATGTTAAACGCAAAAACATGGATCATATCATTAGCTAAAAATCAACAGGAAATACTACAAAAATTATTTGACTTACCAGCATCATATACAGTGCTAGGGGTCACAGAAGCTACAGATGTTTCAAATACTTTGATTTCCCTCTCATACTTCTCTCTAGCAGCTTCAACCCTTGCCTAGAAAACCAAGATTAAAAAACTTATTATCATATTGCGAAAGAGTGTTCCCAGTTTTTCAAAAATCTGTCTGTGATCATATCTCAGGCAAGATAACCTAAGTGTGCAGTATACAAGAAAGTCCAACCATGATGCGAAATTTTAAACGAAATCACGAAACTGTATACTCATTGATTGTGAAACTTCGATGTAAAATCAATAGAGCAACAGAAAGAACTACTCATTCTCACAGTCTATCAACCAAGATCCAACGCCAGACAGCCAGATTTTAAACATTTAAAATCAATAAATCCATCCTAGTATTAAGAAGAAAAAGATGGTCACTACGATTCAGGATTACTTACATTTGTAACTCAAGCAAAAGCGCATAAAAGCAACTCAAAATTAGCAGACAGGACTCAAATCGCAGGTGATTAAATCGGAAAATGAAGAAGACCGCCATGGAAAAACACAAATTAATCGAAAGAATCGTCAATCAAAATCAGAAAAAAAACGCATACGAAAATTAGGGGGAAAAGGTAAAGAATAAACTTTTACCTTAGCAGATTCATACTCCATGGGCGAAATAGTGGTGAACTTCCTTCGCTTCGAAGCTGGAGAATAATCAAATGTCATGAGCGATGCGAAAAATGATTCCTCGAGGCTCAGGGTTTGTTGATATATCTCAGAGGCTCAGGGCACTGTTCTTTGGAATGGGTCGGGTCAGATGCGGGAGCTATAACCCGCTACCTCGTTTTGTTGGATACTTGGATGCATGTCAAAAAAAGAAAATCTTAAATTTGGTCCCTAAACTTTTTATGTTTTCTATATTTGGTCTCAGGCATCACATTTATGGTCCTTTTAAATTTTTTGTTGCCAAATCGATCCCAGTCCGACTTAACAGTCCACTTTTTTCAGATGTTAGTCGTTATTTATTTTTAATTTGTTATGTTTTATCTTTTATTTGAAATTCCAACTGCCACACATATACACAAAATCGACTCCTCTTTCTCAGAAAAACAAAATCAAACAACAAAATTAGGGCAAAGGAATTCATACCAAATTCTTCACAAAAATCAACATGAATCCTAGATAAAACTGAAATCAGACGCCGACAGTGCAACATGCTTCGCTCAGAGGATGGAACTTGTTCTTCAAACCCGAAATACGGTATTTATTATCGTGATTCTTCTTTCACTCGCATGCTTTTTTGTTTTTTTTTTTTAAAAAAATTGTAAACATCCGACATTTGTTATGTATGTTTTGTACATTATTTAGGGTTTTTCGTTCTGTACATATAGGATGTAGGTGATGAATTTGGTAATTTAGGGCTTTAGGGTTTATTTTATTTGACAATTTAGGGCTTTAGGGTTTATGTTATCTGATAAATTAGGGCTTTAGTGTATATTCCATACAATGTAATTTGTAATGTCGGGATTAATGTATGTGATCCACTAACATTCATTTTCTGATAAATTAGGAACTTTCATGTTGGGATTTAATGTATCTAGGACATGTTTATTTTTTAATGTGATGAGTGGTGGTCCATGAATTTGTTATGTTTCTTTTTTAGTAGGCAATTTAAGTGGTGGTCCATGTGGTCCATGCATATGTTATGTATCAACTTTTTTTTTTT